CAAGTAGGAGGACATAAGACTCCAATGATAGCACCTGCACAAACAAACAAATACTTGCACCCAACGCGATAAAGGGGTTGTCAATCCCTTCACGGTTACTTGCAAGGACGATATCTGATATTTATGATGATATCTAAGGCAATGATCATGAATATAGGCATCACGTCCGTGAAAAATAGACCGAAATGATTTTGCATCTACTATTATTACTCCACAAATCGACCAACTCCTGGCCGCATCTAGAGTATTAAGTTCATGAGAATAGAGCAACGCTTTAAGTAAGATGACGTGATGTAGAGGGATAAACTCAACCAATATGATATAAGATCCATCTTTTTGTTCTTGATGGCAACAATACAATACGTGCCTCGCTACCCCTACTGTCACTGGGTGAGGACACCGCAAGATTGAACCCAAAAGTAAGTGCCTCTACCATTGCAAGAAAAACCAATATAGTTGGACAAACCAAACCGATAGTTCGAAGAGAAATACAAAGATATCTTAATCATGCATAAAAGAGTTCTGATAAGACTCAAATAATATTCATAGATTATCTGATCATAAACCCACAATTCATCATATCTCAACAAATGCACTTCAAAAGAAGATTACATCGGATAGAACTCCAAGAACATCGAGGATAACATTGAATTGAAGATCAAAGAGAGAGAAGAAACCATCTAGCTACTAGATATGGACCCTTAGGTTTGTGGTAAACTATTCATGCTTCATTGGTAGGGCAGCAAGGTTGATGTAGAGGCCCTCTGTGATTGAATCCCCCTCCGACAGAGTGCCGGAAAAGGCCCCAGGATGGGATCTCACGGGAATGGAGGCGTGCGGCGGCAGAAAAGTATTTTGGTGGACGCTTCTGATATTTGGGGAATATTTGAGAATATATAGAGCTGGAATTAGGGTTAGGGGACTCATGAGGGGCCCCCAAGCTAGGGGCATGCCCCCCTGGGGCGCGCCATGAGGGCTTGTGGCCTCCTTGGTACTCTTCTATCCCTCTCTCCAAGTCTTCTCGGTGTCTTCTGGTCCAAGAAAACACATCGTAAAGTTTATTCCGTTTTGACTCCGTTTGGACTCTGTTTGATATTCCTTTTCTGTAAAAGTCAAAAACAACGAAAAAACAGAAACCGCGAGTGGGCTCTAGGTTAATAGGTTAGTCCCAAAAATAATATAAAATAGTATATTAATGCATATAAAACATCCAAGACAGATAATATAATAGCATGGAATAATAAAAAATTATAGATACGTTGGAGACTTATCAAGGTAGTGTGGCCATCAAAGTCAATGATGACGTAGGCCTTTAGTTTCAAACAAAAAAATGACTATGGTAGGGTGACACCATGTCCCCAATGTTATTTAACATTGTTGTTGACATGTTGCCTATTCTGACTGAGTGCGCCAAGCAGGATGGACAGATTGCAAGAGTAGTGCCACACCTTGTAGATGGTGGCCTCTCTATTCTGCAATATACCGATGACACAATTCTTTTTATGGAACATGACCTGGAGAAAGCTAGAAACCTGAAACTATTGCTTTCAATGTTTGAGCAAATGTTGGGTCTTAAAATTAACTTCAATAAAAGTGAATTGTTCTCCTTCAGACCAGCCGTTGAGTCGGCAGCCGAATATGCAGACCTGTTTTGTTGCACGCATGGCCAATTGCCTATTAGGTATTCAGGAATACTGGTTCACTATCGGTGTCTCACTATTACGAAGTGGAAGCATGTAGAGAAGCGTCTAGAGAAACGGTTGAGCAGTTGGAAAGGAAAGCTGCTCTCAGTTGGGGGACGACTGGTTTTTGATTAATTCTGTCCTCACAATATGGTTCTCTATATGCTTTCTTTCTTACAACTACCAAAAGGGGTCTTGCAAAAAATGGACTATTTTAGATCCAGATTTTTTTGGCAAGGAGAGAAGGAAAAGAAAAAATACAGACTGGCCACATGGATTGTGGATTGTAGGCCCAAAGACCAAGCTGGCCATGGAATTCATGATCTAGAGGTCAAGCATGAGGCCTTACTTAGTAAATGGTTGTTCAAACTACTTTCCGAGGATGGTCTTTGGCAAACAATGCTGCGCAACAAGTATTTAGGCCAAAAGGCGGAGTCTCAGGCATATTGAAAACCTGGAGACTCTCATTTTTGGGTTGGCCTAATGGCGGCAAAGAAATGTCTCTTTCTCTTTGGGTCTTTCACGATAAAGGCTGGCTAGGCAATGCCAGTCTCCGAGAACAATATCCAGCCGAGTACCAACCAATGTTCAAGGCAGAGTGTACGCAATTGGAGCAGGTGACTACGAAGGGTTTTTTCCCAACATGGGTGGCACCATAACCTCTAGATTGACCCACCACCACTTTCGACATAGGCATAGTGTCGGTCTATAGGACTCTGTTGTTGCCGTTTTGTCGGTTTTGTTTTGTTTTCTTTCTGTCAATTTTTTTAAAATTAACTGTGTGCATTCTAGTTATTCAGAGCCCGGGTGTTACACCTAATGCTCTGTATGGGCTTGATGCTACATTCTCGAGATAATAAAAGTTCGTTTTATCGAAAAGATGATACTGTAGTCTGTAGCTCCGTCCCTCCCTGCTAGATTGAACCAAAAAGTAAGCGCCTCTCCCATTGCAAGAAAAACCAATATAGTTGGACAAACCAAACCGATAGTTCGAAGAGAAATACAAAGATATCTTAATCATGCATAAAAGAGTTCTGCTAAGACTCAAATAATATTCATAGATAATCTGATCATAAACCCACAATTCATCAGATCTCAACAAATGCATCGCAAAAGAAGATTACATCGGATAGAACTCCAAGAACATCGAGGATAACATTGAATTGAAGATCAAAGAGAGAGAAGAAACCATCTAGCTACTAGATATGGACCCTTAGGTTTGTGGTAAACTATTCATGCTTCATTGGTAGGGCAGCAAGGTTGATGTAGAGGCCCTCTGTGATTGAATCCCCCTCCGGCAGAGTGCCGGAAAAGGCCCCAGGATGGGATCTCACGGGAATGGAGGCATGCGGCGGCAGAAAAGTATTTTGGTGGACGCTTCTGATATTTGGGGAATATTTGAGACTATATAGAGCTGGAATTAGGGTTAGGGGACTCATGAGGGGCCCACAAGCTAGGGGCATGCCCCCCTGGGGCGCGCCATGAGGGCTTGTGGCCTCCTTGGTACTCTTCTATACCTCTCTCCAAGTCTTCTGGTGTCTTCTGGTCCAAGAAAACTCATCGTAAAGTTTATTCCGTTTGGACTCTGTTTGATATTCTTTTTCTGTAAAAGTCAAAAACAACGAAAAATCAGAAACCGCCAGTGGGCTCTAGGTTAATAGGTAAGTCCCAAAAATAATAGAAAATAGTATATTAATGCATATAAAACATCCAAGACAGATAATATAATAGCATGGAATAATAAAAAATTATAGATACGTTTGAGACTTATCAAGGTAGTGTGGCCATCAAAGTCAATGATGACGTAGGCCTTTAGTTTCAGACAAAAAAAGGACTGCGGCAGGGTGACACCATGTCCCCAATGTTATTTAACATTGTTGCTGACATGTTGCCTATTCTGACTGAGTGTGCCAAGCAGGATGGACAGATTGCAAGAGTAGTGCCACACCTTGTAGATGATGGCCTCTCTATTCTGCAATATACCGATGACACAATTCTTTTTATGGATCATGACCTGGAGAAAGCTAGAAACCTGAAACTATTGCTTTCGGCGTTTGAGCAAATGTTGGGTCTTAAAATTAACTTCAATAAAAGTGAATTGTTCTCCTTCAGACCAGCCGTTGAGTCGGCAGCCGAATATGCTGACCTGTTTTGTTGCACGCATGGCCAATTGCCTATTAGGTATTTGGGAATACTGGTTCACTATCGGCGTCTCACTATTACGAAGTGGAAGCATGTTGAGAAGTGTCTAGAGAAACGGTTGAGCAGTTGGAACGGAAAGCTGCTCTCAGTTGGGGGACGACTGGTTTTTGATTAATTCCGTCCTCACAAATATGGTTCTTTATATGCTTTCTTTCTTCCAACTACCAAAAGGGGTCTTGCAAAAAATGGACTATTTTAGATCCAGATTTTTTTGGTAAGGAGAGAAGGAAAAGAAAAAAAATACAGACTGGCCATATGGAGTGTGGATTGTAGGCCCAAAGACCAAGCTGGCCTTGGAATTCATGACCTAGAGGTCAAGAATGAGGCCTTACTTAGTAAATGGTTGTTCAAACTACTTTTCGAGGATGGTCTTTGGCAAACAATGCTACGCAACAAGTATTTAGGCCAAAAGGCAGAGTCTCAGGCATATTGAAAACCTGGAGACTCTCATTTTTGGGTTGGCCTAATGGCGGCAAAGAAACATCTCTTTCTCTTTGGGTCTTTCGCGATAAAGGCTGGCTAGGCAATGCCAATATCCGAGAACAATATCCAGCCGAGTACCAACCGATGTTCAAGGCGGAGTGAAAGCAATTGGAGCAGGTGACTACGAAGGGTTTTTCCCAACATGGATGGCATCATAACCTCTGTATTGACCCACCACCACTTTCAACATAGGCATAGTGTCGGTCTATAGGACTCTGTTGTTGCCCTTTTGTCGGTTTTGTTTTGTTTTCTTTCTGTCAAGTTTTTTAAAATTAACTGTATGCTTTCTAGTTATTCAGAGCTCGGGTGTTACTCCTAATGCTCTGTATGGACTTGATGCTACATTCTTGAGATAATAAAAATTTGTTTTATCGAAAAGATGTTACTGTAGGCATAATGTCGGTCTATAGGACACACACCCACATTCTCTTCGGCGACGAAAAATCCTGGAGATCACACCTGGCCCAATCACCCCTCCCCGTTCCGCCCCCTATCCTCCTGCCCGCGCTCCCCGCCTTGGCCCTTATCCTCTTCCTCGCCACTAAACCGCCAAATCCGTCTCAGTTCACCACGCTCACCCACTCCAACTCTACCACAGCTGCTCTCACCTCACTCACTGGCGAGGGTTCGGCCATGGAAGAACTCCTACTGCGCCACGGCCGCCTCTCGAGGCCAGTGGCAACCCGCCGCCTCCGCATCGTCGCCGTCGCGCTAAGGTCCAGACAGAGCAGCAGGCTCGCCGTCCCGGGGTTTCCGCCCGCGACGGCGCCGGCCCCGGCGCCTGCCCAGGAGCACGTGCTACCGTCGCCTCATGTGGCCGCAGACGCCGCAGCTGTCTTGCTCGAGACGGGCGTGCGCCCGGAGGATATCCGGCGCGCGGCGGGGATGTGCCCCGAGCTAATGTCCGTGCCCGTCGAGACCATCACGGCCGCGCTGCGGTTCCTGACCGACGAGGCCGGAGTGCCCGCAGAGGAGCTGCCGCGCGTGCTGAGGCGACGCCCACGCCTGCTCGTGTCCTCCGCCGCGGCGCGGCTCCGGCCGACGCTCTACTTCCTCCGGGCGCTTGGCGTGCCCGACCTCCACCGCCGTGCCGACCTGCTCTCCTTCTCCGTGGAGGACAAGCTGCTCCCGCGGATCGAGTTCCTCGAGTCGCTAGGCCTCCCCTCCCGCGCCGCGCGCTCCATGGCACGCCGCTTCCCGGCGCTATTCTACTACGGCATTGATGGCAACATGCGGCCCAAGGCTGAGTATCTTCTGGGCGTCATGGGCCGCGACGCCGACGAGCTCTTCGACTTCCCGGAGTACTTCTCCTACGCGCTCGACACACGCATCGCGACGCGCCACGAGGCCTGCGCCGCGCGCGGCGTGAGGATGCCGCTGCCCGCCATGCTCCGGCCTGGGGAGCCCAAGTTCGAGGACTGCCTCGCGGGCTGTGTCGGCTCCACGCCGCCACGGCGGCGGTCGCCCCTTTGGCACGCCTATTGGGTGGATGGCGACGGCGCCGGCGTCGGCGCGGTGGTAGAGAAGGCAAGACGTGACGATGCGATCGCGGCATCATACCGCCATGTGCATTATTAGTAATACAATAGTGGGCGATCTTGGATGTTGTAAGCTGTGCATAACTACATGTGATCTGTAAGTATGATACCATCTGGTTGGACTCTCTTAATCAATCAATTATCAAGGGATGGTCTTAGGGTATGTTTTGGTTGTAGAACCAAGTAGACTGAAACGGAATGGTTGCGTGGTCTTAGTGTTCAGTAGAGCTAATGAGATGGAACAGAATGTTTCGTCTCAGCGTTTGATTAGAGGAGTATGATATGACACATGCCACGAATAATTATTATCTGCAACTACTAGTATGGTGATGAACATCATTTAGCAATTATTAATTCGTATCAACTAGTACTGGGACTGAGCATTTACAGCGGCGCATCAACTTGTAATAATTGGTATCAAGCAGGGTGGGAGAGAAATAGATTTCTTCCGCCGCTGGGAAGGTGAAGATTGCTGCTCTCGCCGTCAAATTCAGAAGTATCAAGTAGCATGAAGGTTGCCGCTCACGGAAATCAATTCGTATGTATCAACTAGCATCAGGCTAGTCATACTGAGGAATAACTTAGACTAGTAACATACATATGTTACTAGTCTATGTTACCACCTTCATAGTAGAAAGTGTTAGGCTGATCATAGTGAAGAGTAACTTAAACTAGCAACATACATATTTTATTAGTCTATGTCACTATCTTCATAATGCATAGTAACAGATACTCCCTCCTTCCATCTACATAGGGTCTAATGCGTTTTTCAAGACGGCCTTTGACTATTGACAAGATTAATAGTACATGACATGCATAATGTGAAAATCATATCATTGAAATCTCCTTTCATATACGAATTTGACGACATGCTTTGTGTAGGTTGCATGTCATATATTGTTGCTCTAACATTTGGTCAAAGTTAGCCTTGGAAAACGCATTAGGCCCTATATAGATGAAAGGAGGGAGTAAATGGTAACATGCAAGTCTTCATTAATTGAGATATAGACTCATTTTATCTCAAGATGTGTTATATTATAGTAACATATTATGTTTACACAAGTATCTCTTTCCTTATTAAATCCATGCCACATAAGCAATTTTTTCTTGAGATGTGTTATATTACTACCTAAGTTACTCCCACTATGGCTAGGTGTAGAAACATACATGTCTACATTTATTGCTTTGTAGACTCATTTTGTATTGGAAAGCGCTATATAATGGTAACATATTGTGTTAGTCTATTTGTCTCTCTCTTCTTTAATTACATGACGCATCATCTTTTTTGTTTATGTGGCATTTATGTTACTACTTATGTTAGTCCCACTATGACTAGCCTCAAGGTAGGCGCTCCCGGAAATCAATCTAAAGTCAGGCAAATCGCTCCAACCAAGCGGTGCCAGGTCCCAATAGCGGTGAGTCGTTGTCGTCCTGCTTGTGCTTTGCTTCGCTCGTCGTGGCGACAGGCACCAATAGCAGCGACGACAGGAACAAGGCACGGGAAAAGAAGACCCACCAGTCCATCGGGACGACGCGGCTGAAGGAGTCCTGGATTAAGGGGTCCTCGGGCGTCCGGGCTATGTGATGTGGGCCTGACTAATGGGTCGTGAGGATACAAGACAGAAGACTTCCTTCCGTCTCCGGATGGGACTCTCCTTTGCGTGGAGGGCAAGCTTGACATTCGGATGTGAAGATTCCTTTCTCTGTAAACCAACTCTGTATAACCCTAGGTCACTCTGGTGTCTATATAAACCGAAGGGTTTAGCTCGTAGGAGAGGTCATAATCATAATCATACAGGCTAGACAATTAGGGTTTAGCCATTACGATCTTATGGTAGATCAACTGTTGTAACCCCTATACTCATCAAAGTCAATCAAGCAGTGTCGGCGTTCTGGGAACGGGGGTCGCCAGACTTTCCTGCCTGCGGCCCGCGGCGAGGCTGGGCTGGCAGGTCAATACGGCCCATCTTCATCGCCAGGGCATTCAAGACCCTCGCGAGGGGCCAAGCCTTGTGAGGCGGACGACGCAAGACCTCCTCAGGAGCAGCCTCGCCAGACAGGCTCATGAGGGGAGGAGAGATCAAGGCAAGGCAAACTCGCGAGGCCCTCATGACGTGAACCATGATGATCGAGACCAGGCGGGCGTCAGCGTGCAGTGTCCTTGCTTCCTCTTTGGTGCCAAGGGGGCAAGCGCAGGCGCGAAGTACCAAGGCATCAAGCAAAGGTTTCCATATTGGTGCAACGAGACCAAGACCAGAAGGACGGCAAGACGGAGGTCACCATGGAGCCCAGGACGGCGTCGCCACCAGAGCCTTTGGCAGGTGAAGACCGCTTTTGTCAGGATAAGCTGTACTAGTTGTCCCCTTTCAAATTGGCCGTTGTTGGCTCCCTTCCCGCTCAGTATTTGGGGAGAGGACCATGGCCTATATAAGTAGAACTAGCCACCACAGTAGAGAGGACGATCGAATCGACCTCATCACAAATCGAGAACAGATCCAAGATCATCTCACCCACGCAAGTTCACCAAGCACAAGAACACCTCGACCTCAGGAGGTTGTTCTTCCCCTTGTACTATTCATCATCAGCCAAAGAGGCAATCCACCACCACCACACTGGAGTAGGGTGTTACACCACAACGGTGGCCCGAACCAGTGTAAATCTTGTGTCTTTCTGTGTTGTGAGTTCGTTGAGTTTGTCCGCGAGATCTTAGAGGCCTAGGGCGTGGATCGATAGGGAGAACACCTTCACGTGCACCCCAGTGTTCGAGCCTCGAGGGTTTGCTGGAACCCGTGATCCGACATTTGGCGCGCCAGGTAGGGGTGCGCCGTAGCTTCTCCTCCGTCGATCTGCGCTCCGTCACCATCGTGCTTCGCCCACATGGCAGGTGCCCTGCCGCCTACTCCGACGACCAGCGTTGACGATGGGGCCAGGGGGCTCCGAGCCCTGGCCCCCACCCTGCCGCGGGTGCAGTGGCCATGCAAGTTCAAGCCAGAGATGCCGCCGCGCTACAATGGCGCGGTGGACCCGTAAGCTTTCCTGCTGGCGTACGGGGAGGCCGTCCTCGAGGCCGGGGGTGATGACAAGGTCATGGACAAGTGGCTTCCCATGGCCCTCGCTGGCGATCCGCACGCCTGGCTACTCAACCTTCCCGGATCCACGGTGGCGTCTTGGAGGAGCTCTGTGACCTCTTCGCTGCGCGCTACACGGCACACGCGCACCACGCGGTCGCGACCCTGCTAGGCGGCTCACAGGCACCGCCTTCAGAGCGCCACATCAAGCCGTTCCTCCACCAGATTGGTGCCGCTTCCACACGCTCGGGGGCTCCACCGGGCTTGGCCGCGCCGGAGGCCGACCTCATTTTTAGCTCAGAAGACCACCCCGTCACGACCACCGGCTCGGGCATGCTCCCGATGCTCTTCACGCCCACCATCTACAACATGGCCGTCACCAAGACCCTCATTGACGGTGGCGCTAGCCTCAACTTGCTCTCCATGGAGGCCTTCAGCCTTCTTCACGTGCCGCTTGAGCGACTCAGCCTCAGCAAGCCTTTCTCAGGAGTTGGTGGCGGCGCTTCCCGCTCCTTGGGGCAGATCCACCTCCCCGTCACCTTCGGCACGCGCAACAACTACCGCACTGAGCTGGTCGACTTCAACATCGCCCGCATCAGCCTCCCGTACAACATCATCCTCAGGTACCCAGCTCTGGCCCAGTTCATGGCGGCAACTCATCCAGCCTACAACCTCATGAAGATGCCTGGAAGCAAAGGTGTCCTCACCATCAAGGGGGACACCAAGGAGGCCGTGACGGCGCTCAAACTAGCCTTCAGGACCGCTGCGGCGGTGCAGCCCGCCGGCACCGGTGCCCCTGAGGACATGGAGGCCGCACCAACCAAGAAGCAGTTGTTCACCCAAGACAAGGCAGAGACAAAGCAGGTGTGCCGGTCGACGAGGACAGCACCTCAGGAGCCACCTTCACCATAGGTGCCAGCCTCAACCCCAGCCAAGAGGAAGCATTGGTGAAGTTCTTGCGTGCGAACAAGGACATATTCGCATGGGAGCCCAATCAACTGGTGGGGGTCCCGAGAGAGGTGATTCAGCACCACTTAAGGGTGTGCCCCAATCTGCAACCTGTGAAGCAGCGAGCAAGGCGGCAGTCCACGGAGAAGAAGGCCTTCATCGTCCAAGAGACCCGCAAGTTGGAGGCGGCGGGTGCCGTTCGTGAGGTTAGGTACCTCGAATGGATGGCGAACCCAGTCGTGGTGCCAAAGAAAGGCGGGAAGGAGCAAATGTGTGTCGACTTCACCAACCTCAACAAGGCGTGCCCTCAAGATCCATTCCCTCTCCCGCGAATCGACCAGATCGTCGAATCCACCGCTGAGTGCGACCTACTATGCTTCCTGGATGCGTTCTCAGGGTATCACCAAATCAAGATGGCGGTGGAAGATGTAGAGAAGACAGCCTTCCTGACCCCGTGTGGGGTGTACTGCTACACCTGCATGCCCTTCGGACTGCGCAACGCGGGTGCGACCTTTCAGCGGCTGATGCACATCGCTTTAGGGCGGCAGCTCAGGAGGAACACGGAGGCCTACGTCGACGACATTGTGGTGAAGTATCGGGAGGCGAGAACCTTGATCCAAGACCTAGAGGAGACCTTCGAAAGCCTGCGCCGGGTGAACTTGCGGCTTAACTCAGAAAAGTGTGTTCAGTGTCCCTTCCGGCAAGCTGCTGGGATTCCTCGTGTCACACAGAGGGATCGAGGCGAACCCAGAGAAGATCAAGGACATTGAGGGCATGAGCCTGCCGCAGACCCTCAAGGAAATGCAGAAGCTGGCTGGTCGGGTGACTGCATTGGGGCGCTTCATCTCCAAGCTGGGAGAGCGCGCCTTACCCTTTTTCAAACTAATGAAGGAGAAGTGCCCGTTCGAGTGGACTCCGGAGGCCGACCGAGCCTTCCAAGACCTCAAGAGATACCTGACCAGCCCACCGGTGTTGGTGGCGCCACGGCCTCTCGAGCCTCTAGTACTTTATCTTGCCACCACCC